AGCGGTAGATACACGAGCAGATGTAAATCTGACAATGTACAAGTAAAGCTTGGAGAAAATCTATATTGTTACGGATTCCCTACAGTCCCGGTGCGACGCGCAGCGCTGATAAATGCGCACTCGACAGAAACGTGCACGATCGGGAAGCAGCGTCGGTAATAGACAGTTTACATTCAGCAATTCTGGTGAACAGTGAAACGTTTACCAGCGGTAACCGATCGTTACACCCACCATCCATTTCCCGATATCCAGACCTCCCATGAGTTACCGAATCCACGAGCGGCCAACACGGAGGTACGAAAATTTACAGGCTAACGATCAAAGCTGCGCAAGAACCAGTATCGTCGCGTGTCGCCGGCCGATTGTTTGCACAAACACACAGCGTCGACTCGGTAACATGAATAATCGCGCTGGACACAACCGGGCATACATTATCGTCGAGGTATTTTGTGGACGAAAATATAGCGCAATGACGCTGTTGGGTGTTGACAACGTCGTCGACGAAACTCGATCATTTAATAAGGGGGCTCCCGCCTGTCTCAGGTAGGAATTAACGATGCATACCTCTTCGATTATGGTGTGAGCATTCTCGCCCTCGTGGTCTGAGTAGGTTTGCTTTATTTAGGCAGTTTGTGTAGTCTACCTTTAAGCTTGAAATTAAAGAAATTGGTGATTGATGAACGAATACGTTTGCAAGAAATTTCTTGAAAAACATCATTAAATAATAGTTTTTTTTTAAAGATGGAATAAAATTTACACAATTCCAAAGATCATAGAAATCTCGTCCTGTCTCATCTCGTGCGCATCACCACTGTCGAAGATTAGATTATTTAACATTTGTTGTATTATTTAATTCTTTAACCTATTTAATTCACAAATCCTATCCAAATTTATTTTCATTATCGTCTCACTTTTGGAATTTATTTTTTTACATCCTCACTGAAAGCTTTTGTCAATCTTTTTTGGGTGACGCGACGACCACCGTATTAAGAGGATCGTAGCATATTCCAGAAGCGCAGCTTCCGCCGGTAAGAAATATCGCACGAATCGTCTGTCTCGCGACAGAGGACCGAAGTAAATCGGTTAAAACTTCGTCCTCCTTTGCCTCGCCTAATTGTGTTCCGGCTCTAGACATGCATTATGTATTTCACTTTGTTGAAGACTTCGAGTGCCTCTAAAACTTTTGTCTTCCCGACGGAACTTCGCCATAGAGTTTCAATTGTAACGTACCACTTAAAATGAATTATCGATAACTTTCCCGAAAATCTTCTTGGGAGATGTCCTGCTCGCTAGGAACGATCCAACTTTTCCCCAGGCGTTCGCGGAGGGTGAATCGACGGTAGTCCGAGGGAAATCGAGACCTGGATACCTACGACTTTGATATACACGAATAATACCGAGCCGTTCTGTTATTTTTACGTCGATCACGATGTCTTGTAGATGGTCGATCAGTTCGACGATCGTTTTCGAGCGCAACGGAGGAGAAGGGTTCACCCCTTTCAAGGCTAGGCCGGATTGTGGAGGATACATTGGAAAAAAGCCTAAAGGTGCCGCTATAAGGCTGTGGTTGAGGCAATTGTTCGTCCATTTTCATCTTCGATCATCTGATGTTCTGCGTGATCTGTTGTCTTCGCAAATAGCAAGGTGATGTTGGTAGGTCGCTGTATTATCATGTTAATTACAGCCAAATCTATTTTCGCGCGGTAGATAGGCACCGTATAAAGAAAATATCGCATACAAAAAAAATTGCATAAAATAAGACCGCACGAAAACAGGTTTGACTGTAGTTGAATGTCACCATCGTCGCACGTACGTATTCTTCACGTGTCCCCAAGATTTAGGGGTTTGCATTTTCTTCGAGTTTTTGGCGGCTCGCCGCCGATTAATGGCGGGCCAAGAAGCATCGATGAAGCAGATGCGATCGAGGGGCGCCGTTTGGATTTCAGGTGAATAGCCCTGGGTTGCACGTGCACAGGACCGTTCCTAGGTCCGTTTTAGACGCAGCCAGGCGCAAGTAAGGCACTTTGAAATGAGATAGGTTCGTTATTTTGATAGCCTCCTCGATGCTCGCTGGCGCATCCACGATCGTGCCTGCTTTAGGCACCGCGGAAACGGATTAAGCCACGGTGCAGTGGAGTTCCACGAAGTCGTCAAAAGTTTGCAGACTCCTTACAGGCATTCCGTAACGCTCGTTTGCCGCTCGTAACGTGATCGATAGCCGTCGCTGGTGATATAATGGGGAGAAAAATCGCTCGTGGGATCGATTTACAAGCTGTGGATTAATTTCTCAAACATAATCACCATGGTAGTTGTTATCGCTTTGACTTGTTTCTCTGACGCGTCTGGAACCTTCCAGTACTCCTATTCAGTCTATATTTTCGATAGTTCTTTGCGAGGGATACAAAATCTCAAATTTACTCATTTCGTCAAATTATATTTTTTGTTATATTCTTCGAACTTGTAAACATAGTCCAAGATACATTTCTACTGAGAATCCTCCCTTGGATTGGCCGTATAGAAGGTGGTTCGACGCTTACGTCGAAAATGTATCCAATTGAAAAAGTTTACACTTTCCAGACGGTCCGATTGAAATGTCAGACGTCCACAAAAAAATACCGAGGCGTCTAAACTCGCGTTTGCGCCACTAGGCGAGTACAAAAAGCGCACAAACTTTCTGGGGCAAGTATAACACAGGAGGAACGGTGGTGGTTTGCGGAAGCAGGACTAAAGGCTGAACATGTTGGTACGTACACCGCCACCGCCTCTCTTAGGCATCATCTCGAGCATGTAATGCATCTATGGTCCTATGAACCCAACCCCCTACCCTAAATACGTATCCTTCTCTTTTAGCTATAAACACGCCTGGCTGTTTATGGACCTGTGAACAATTTGAAAAACTTCTCCTGCCGTTGTTCCGTTCGATCGAACCATTCCAAATCTTTTGGTTGCCCAACTCCTCCGATATTTTTTTTTTTTTAGTTTTTGTATTCAGCCAATAGCCACGCGTAGCGAAACGTTACGTCTTCGTGTTGCAATAGATCACCCTTTATTTTGGGATCGATGCAATGTAGCCATTTAAAAGCACCGCGAACCTGAAGTAAATTCCATTTTGTTAGAGAACATAACATTTTTATTTTATTTTATCAAGTGGATAACGGAGGAATAATTATATAAATAAATAGGAATTTACTTATATACATTGTCCTCAGCTTTTATGCATGAGGTACGGTATTGTAAGAACCATAGAAAATATATGCAGAATGTATTGGATAAATAAATCCATTTTACATAACATTGCAGACATTTAGCTCGTATTATTAATGTTTCATCCGAATTGACAATTCAGATCGACGACATTTATTTGGCAAGCTACCAGTGTCACTGATATTGACAACATTAAACTGTCAAACTGCCAGCACCACTGATATTGACGCCATTAAATAAACAAGCTACTAGCGCAATTGATATTAGTGCGATTAAATTGTCACGCTACTGGCGCCAGTAACCACTGCACGTGGGAAACCTGCATAACGCAATGGTGGTTTCGGGAAGCAAATTAGGAATTCAGCTGCATTGTTGACAAAGTACGTGTGAGATGATAACCTCCGCTGTAACTAGACGTCACATGTAGCCAGTACAATGCTAGTTTGCATAAACAGAACTAATTGCAAACGCTGAACTTAGTTTTCCGGCACCGTCCCTACGTTTGCTACCCTTAATCATTGTTCTAAACAAGTTACACATTAACCGCACACTAATCACTGTTGGTAGAATTTCAAAGCACAAAATTAACATGACGATACAGAGAGTTATTATCGTCGTGCGATCTTTAGACATAAGACTCTGTCTCTTCTTTTCAAGGATTCATTTATAAATAGCTCACTTTTAAGAACGATTCGTTACGTTTCATATAATGTTTAAAAGGATTTTTATTAATTTATTACCAAACGATAACGTAAAGGTAATAGCACATCCTATAATTAATGGTAGATATACTAATCAGTTGGATGTTTAATTAAACTTGCGAATACGTCTTCATGAATTCATTTGCGTGCAATCAGTAATGAATTTGCTATTGAAAATAGGACGGGAAGAGTAATGTATTAATCGTAGGAATATTGAAATGACTGTACAGATGTAACTATTACAGAATTTCAAATTTCGAGAGATTTTCACGTGCGAAATCAAAGGCAAATGACAAAGAAATCTTGGTATTATAACGTCGTTAAAGGTCTCGTCTGGATATGAACGTGCAGACGCTACGTTCAGCATATTCTAGTTTGCTAACTGATCATTAGGCTGAATTTGCATTAATATCCACGTTTCCTGCTGCAGAAGCCACCTCACTGAATTGCATGTGGTTTGCATAATGCCACTAATTAAATATTGTAGTTTTACAAACGGATATATATTTAAATACTAAAATGACATGTATTGTAGAGAGATGAAAATTAATCCCACAGTTTTACCAGTTGTATAATCAAATTTTCAATTATAACGCACGAACTATTATGAAATAAACGACTAATAGCCCTAATAAACATATTTAAACATAGACAAATATTAGTATTAATCCCCTTTCTAAGTTTTCAACAGGCATTACTCGTAAAGGCATCAATATTTCTGCTTTCTATAGTTTTTACAATATCGATGTATTTCTTTATAACTCAAAAATTCGTATTCGAATCACTTTTATAGATAAACACATTTGAATACTACCGCGCAATAACATATGGTGCTGGCATCCATGGCAAAATGGCCAAGTTTGTCGTAAAATAGTTTCTATTTCTCCACGCTAGATGCCGCCATCAATTCAGAATTGCAATGTCGGTATTTTTTATATAATGACGCCATCTAATATATAGGAATATAAACTATTTTACGACAATCTTCAGCGGTTTCCTCCTAGATGGCAGCATCATATTCCCCGCACTATTCAAATGGGTTTAATTACAAAAGAAATTTGAATGCAACCTTTAAGGTAAAGAAAAAGATCGATATTGTAAAAATCGTTGCTTTTTGTTTTTATTCATGTAATAAATCTACAATTATTTAAGTGTCTAATATTAACACAAACTTATATAAAATACTTATTCCATCTATATAAATAATATTATAATATCAAGGTATATAAATCAAGAAATGTACATGAAAGAACGTGTTAGTATAAATTATCATCCAATACATAATATTAATTGTCTCCACTACCATTGTTTTTCTTTAATTCATCCGAATTAATTTGTTCACATTCCAATTTTTTGTTGTCACTTTTCGAACGTTTCGTGTTTGTTATCGTGTCGCCACAAGATGAATCTTCACGCAACTCGTGTGAATCATTATCTAGAATTTGTGCTTCGTTTGATTCTTTAATTTCTGATGCGCCTTGTATGGCTGGTACGCGCGTGCCATGAGGAACCTAAAATAAATTCTACTTTATTAGTTTCTGTACGACAAAATACGCGAGTATACGAAAAAGATGGGTGTTATGCACTTGAATGCATATGAAAATTTCAACTTAAATGACCTGAAAAGAAGTATTACCTGAAGGATTATTTCTAGGCGATCTCGTTTTTGTACATCTTGTAATGAATTACCTTTTCTATCCTTTTTGGGGTGCCCAAGTCCAATTTTAAATAATGGCCCTAAACCTAGATTAATAGATGTACCAGATAAACAAAATGGCAATGCTATTATAGTAGTGCCAACACATAAATAAAGTATGCACTTAATAATCCATGCATATGTCCAGGGAAGATCAGCTGAAAGAAGATAAATTATAATTACAAGCATATAAATTATATGCTTGTGTACTTCATGTCTCTAGTTCAATCAACAAGCAGTGAACTATTACCTGTAGCATTGTTTATAAAGTCAGACACGACAGTTCCTACATGTGTAAATGGGTGAAGAACAACAGTAGTAATAAAATGGGATAATACAAATGCAGGTGTTATCTTTAATTTTGGATTAGACATTGTTACTTGATAATATTTTTCACAATCATCATTAGCTACAAAGAGGAAATTTATAATACATAAGATGAAATAGTTTTAAATAAATTTCTCTGCATACTTCACTCTAATACAACCTACTTACAAGTTATAAATGAAACAAATTTATCCCACATGCTCATTTTATCTGGTTGACATGAAATAGGTATGCTGGCAAATTTCATTTGTTCAGCAGTAGACTTAATTTCAGCTTCCTGTTTAAGATATATAATGAAAGCTTAGGTTACAAATCCTTATACTTTTATAACATGAGTTACTACTTAATGTTATTTACTTGTATAAGTTGCCACCAAGTCATGAAAAAACTCGACACAAATATAATTTGTAAAATGATAAACATAGAAAATCCATGACCCCGCTTAATCATTCTAAATGTCAGAAAAATCATCAACATTCCAAATACAATTATGGCTCCATCAGGCTAAAATGTTAAAAACATTTTACTAATACTTGAATACAGAATATGAACAATATGCTCGAGTTGAGATATAAATAAACTTTATTACATGTGTTTGTATAACTTTAAGTGCCATTTCAAATTTGTCGATTAACACATCAAGGACATGCATAAAATCAATCATATCATTGTACAGAGGCTTCCTTATTATATTGCTCATAATTTCATCAAGCTCGCGTAAAGATGTCTTTTGAGTATCCAAATTTTGTAATATTTCCATTTGCAAATGAGATATTTCAATTTCTAATATTCCTACCACTGATATATCATCCTTTGCCTATATTCATTAATTGAAATAGTAATAATTGAAACATCAAATGTGTTACTGATTATATGCTGTATCTAACTGATTAATGTATCCAATATTATTACCAACTATTATTACCTTTATGTTAATGTTTAATAGTAATAAATTAATAAGTCTCTTATAAAAAATTGCTTCATGACTACTAAAATTATTGATTTGCTTACAATATTTTAATTCTTTCTCAACTTCATTATTTATTTCTACAGAACTTTCTACCCTAGAAGAACATAATATACAATTACGTACAAGCGACAACATAATATGTTATCTTAATTATTTTTGTTAGATCCATAGATCAATAGATCAGATACATAATAAATAATAGACATAAATCACATATATTTTGTACTTACACTTCTGGATCTGTTTCTGTAAGCATCTTCTTGCTTTGTCTATCATAATAAAATGAATGTGGATCTACTATTTGATCTGGATTCCTGTAAAAAAGGAAACAAATTCATGTTATTTGATTAAGATAATTTGTTTATATGCAATCGAAATACTTTACGTAGTAATTTAGTAACTTACCTTATGTCTTCAAAATAGTTCTCGTCCTCACACTGAACCATCAAAATAGTAATGGAAACATTAATAATTATATAAATTAATCCGTACGAACACTTCATGTTAGAAAATTACACTCAAACTAAAAGTTCTAACAGATTCGGTTTGCCTATAAACTAAAAATACTGATGTCGTCAACTATTTCGTAACCTCTTTTGTAACTTCCACTACCTACACTGCACTTACACCTAACGAAAATTACATATTAGCAAAATAAAATTTACATTATCAATTTGTACGAGATACAAGTGGGACAGTTTTTAAACCGTAACAGATAGTAAATCACAAAATTAAGTCAGTGATACCATACTACAATAAACGAAAAACGAAAGGTGAGTGTTTACACTCACGTAACAGATGTAACACAGAAACACAATCGCAATCAATTTTAGTGACATCATCTGACGCCTATATAAATGAAAAAGACCATTTCCATTTCATATTATTGGCAAACATTATGTGTTGCTTTATTATTATAATATATTATGAATTATAAGTAATTCATTAAATTTTTCTATAGCGATTTTCTGCAGATCGTTTTAGAATATTTTTCTATTTTATCTAGATACTTTTTAAACTTTCATGTTCCCCAGCATGAAACTCCAAAATAAAACATGCCTGAAACGTTCAATAAGCGGTAACGAAAGTACATAATATCTGTGGATCTGTATATGTACTTGCATTTTAAATTTGTACATACAGTATCATATAGTTTATGTAAGAATATATTTTCTTTCTAATAAAAGTACACGCTTGTTGTTTTTGAATTACAAAATAAACGTGTTTTTACAATATGTGTCTTTTCCATTATTTACAACTGTATAGTTGATACAGTTATTTATGTAAACGATCGCTTTTAAAATACCTCTTAATGCTTGAAGATTTTCAAGCAGACTGTTCGGTCGATATATTTCTGTATAAGTGTAATGTATTGTATAGTGTAAGGTTGTGGTTCACGGTGCTTACGTATAGTGATGCAAGTGTAATGTGGTGCATTTTTGTGTATAAGGAGTATAAAGATCACGGATCGGAGTAAATTCATTTTGTAAATTAAAATGGAAGTTTTAAACCATTTTGATCACATCGACGAAAGGTATTTATCTTGTTTCCTTTAGTAATTGCAACAAATGAACGCTTTTTTATAATAATGATAGAAAAATAAAAGCCAGAATTATAATAAATAAAACAAATAGTTCCGTTGATAGGAGTCTTCATCTTAATCTCACCGAATATTAAGAAAACATTTGACATCAAACATTTCATGTAATTACGTATGCATTTTAATTCTGTAAGGAAAGACAGATACTGTCCATTTCCAAATTGAGGTTAGCTCAGAGAAAACAGTGAATTGTTTAATATTTTATAGCGTGGATGAGAATACTATTAGCAATGACAATGTTGGAGTAGTTCTAGAGGAAGCAGAAATAATAGATTGTGATACAGAAATAGAAACTGTCACAGAAGATGATAATATACAATATCAATTATGTGAAGTGAATAGAAATGATGATCTCATTGCATATCGTGTGGTAGAAGCTGGTGATGGTCATACAAACAATTCTGACTTGTCAATTGCTTCACCTATAAATAATACTGTTCAAGTTTTGACATCACCTATAAATGGTCAGTTTTATGTATTTGGCAATGATGTAGTTGCTACAGAATCTACAAGATCAACTGCTCCACGTGTTAAACTTCAATTAGATAATCCACAAAATATTCTTACTACTATTAAAAAGGTAATTACATTGCCTAATAAAGTCAGTGATGTTATTTAATGATATCAGCTATTAATATATATTCTTACCTAGAGGGATGAAAGACGTAGGGTAACACATAATGAAGTTGAAAGACGCCGCAGAGATAAAATCAATAATTGGATTTCAAAATTAGGGAAGATTTTACCTAATTCTGATCAAAATACAACAGGAGATGGAGATGTAAAGACAAATTTTGAATTGCAGGTAAAGTATAATCTTTAAATATATCTAATATTTTTATTGCAAGGAAAAATTGTTTCTTTACAGAGCAAAGGAGGAATCTTAGCAAGAGCATGTGAATACATCACTGAATTACGATATGTACAAGAGAGTTATGCACAAAGTTTGGATGAAAATGCTCAACTGTCAGAAGAAGCTAAAACTTTAAGACATGTAGTGAATCAATTAAAAAAAGAAAATTCTGAACTGAAGGCTCAGATATCGAAAAATGCAACTTATATACTTGGTACTTAATCTTTATAAATTTGTGCAATAAATGGGAGTAGGAGTGAATTTTCTTTGAATCTTTTTTATGAGTACAATCTTTTTGAAAGCATGACAGCGCATCTTTACTAGTATTTGTGAAGCTTAAATGCAATAAAGTAATAATAATATTGTAATTATGAAACGTTTATTTATGTAGGTTTAACTAAATATATATTTATATTGTGAGAACAATTGTAAACATATTATGTAATTTCATCTGTACATATCATGAACAATAAGTATTTATAATGTGAAAAATTGAGCAAGGAGAGTAATTTATTATCAAGTCACGTAAAACTATAATACATAAATACATAATCTTTGAAATAAATAATTTGAGAACCACTGGAAATACTACGATACTGCCATCTAGGAGAAAATCGCCCAAGTTGGACGTGAAATAGTTTGTATTCTTATACGCTAGATTGCGCTATTGTACAAGAAATACCGACGCTGCAATTTTCTATATTTTTATAAAAAGGAATCGGTGGCACCATCTAGCGTGAAAAAGTAAAAACTATTTAACGACAAACTTGGGCGTTTTGCCGTAGATGACAGCACCATATGTTTTACGTGGGCATATTCAAATGTATTTATTTATAAAAGTAACTTGAATTGAAATTGTACACGAAAAAAAATATATCCGTATTGTAGAAACTATGGTTACACTTAAATAAATTATTTTGTGCTTTTTAAATTATATTGAACCATGATACCTTTCCTTCTATACCACTGGCTCACGAATTTAAAAACTGCTTTTTATTTCCGTAAATAGATTGATTTTTTCACTGTATCTACAGCATACATAATATACACAATATATCCTGAATAATATTTGTGAAGCTTAATGTCCGACAGACACGTGCTATTTAGTGTAATAAAGTAATAATAATATAGTAATTATAAAATGTTTATTTACATATATTTAACTGAGTATATATTTATATTTTGAAAACAACTGTAAACATATTACGTAATTTCAACTGTACATATCATAAACAATAAGTATATATAACGTGAACAATCGAGCAAAGAGAGTAATTTATTATTAAATCATTAAATTAGATATACAAATATACAAAACATTGCGCTATTCAATCAGTAATTAATTTTTATCCAAAAGGTATATGTCATGAAATTTTAACGTCGCTTAATACCTAGGTTGCGTTGAAGTTTTTGCCAACAAACAGTTCTACAGTATTTACACTTATACATTACGATACCTAGCTATTTACAAGAAACAAAACGATACATTATTGTATCAATTGTTTTCAACTCGTGAACGTAGAATGTGCGTGCATATTAGTGGTGAATATTTACGTAACGTGAGTCATTAATATGCACATACAGCTACAAATATCAAATACAAGAGAAAGTATATGTGTTTACATATATGTGCAACAGCCTAAACTGTTATTACTGTAACGCCTAGGAATATTATTGCTTTGAAGCACATTATTTTGACATTTGTGCAAAATTTGTTTCGATATATCCAGAGTAATAAAACAAATTATTTTATCTATAATTGTAAAAAAAATAAATATTAAATCAATAATTATATGTTTATCAACATATGAATCTTCATCGCGATATGTAGAACACGACCGATACAAAGGACAAACGCTGCTCAAATTTCTTTCTAGTAACACATTATATTTACATTTGTAATATTACTCTGGTAATTTGCAGAAATTTTGTGTGTTTGCTCATATACACAAATGGAACTCAATGAATTAAATGTTCCAAGTTGCGTAGTATGCAGTATTATCGATTCAGCATTTACAAATAACACGAGATATTCTCTTCTTACGTTTAGTTACATTGGCCATTAAACTCGTTCTTAGATAGCAATGCTTACAGAGAAATTGTATTCGAACAAATAAATTTGTTCTATAAAAATAACTCTTAAATGAGTTAGGTCCAGCAACAAATTGTTTTGCCCCTAGTCTACACATCGATGGTTAATGATCTCTGTACAGTTGAGTAGGAATCTTGCTCCTCCATTTTGTCATCATATTGTCCTCGTCCTATAGTAAATACAATGCCAGAAAATAAGCAAAAATATACTTCTGTGTATTGTTTTTCATTCACAAATATTTCGTCTAATAAATCACGTTCGAAGACAGAGAAATATGAAAAGTCCGCTAATACAAAATAACGATTATCCTTTTTTTGCTTTTATAAACGTATACATATATACTTCAAAAAGTATTTTATGCGTCAAGCGTGACGAGAAAATATACAAACGAACGAAGACATATATAGTAAACATATTGGCAGTGTTGAAAACTTTCACAATCGGTGGATCAGTTTTATTTTTTTATTTTTTGAAAACGTTAATTTATTCATCTGTGATAAATAATTGCACAGACAACGTTTACAATGTTGTTAATTTACGTTTGCATACAAAACACAGAGGTTTTTGCTGGCTGACTGGCTTTCATTACGATATTCGCGTAACATTTTCCTGTACAAGAGTAGAAAAACTTTGAAAGATATCTTCTGGGGTGTTAACTTTAGACACTGCTTAAGCAGCAGTAGAAAAGGAGGCTTGATATGCGATTATTTACACGTTTAGTGATACCTGTATCGTTAATACTGTCTCTCTGTTACGACGTAGAAATATAATTTTCTTCGTCTCTTTACCAAATTTAAAATCTCCGTACAAACTACGTTGAGTATTTTACGATTACTGCTTCAGGTGGAGTGACGATAATTTTAGGCAGTAAAAGGAATATCGCGTGACTTTTACTCTCGAGATTCTTTTCTACAAATATGTGCCGTGATACGGTTTACTTCACTGAGAGAGAAGTCTCCAAGACAACGCTACAGTCAACATTATCCTAATGTGTGCGTCCTAGAAGACTATCTAGATTATCGAACAGAGGAGTACAATTCGAAAGATGATCCGAACTATAAATACTCGTCTACGGTGAAATTTCTTTATATTTCGATTACACTTTTCTCTCAGTGCTATCCTCGTACCGATTCCCTTGTAGTTCTACAGAGAAAGAAGCATTTCTATCGTCAGTCTTTCGATTACCATAAAAAAAAAATGTATGGCCGTTGCTAATCCGTTCATTGCTCACAACACTCATTCAAGCGGTCGAATAACACTAAAGTTTTATCACTGTTCTTCGTACAAGTGCGTGATAAGAGTGACTAGTACTTTCTCTTTAGTACTCGAAAGCTCGCTAGCGGCTTTATACATGTATTATCTACGTCTAATAGTAAGTGTATTTATCTCATCGATCGATGCATTTCTTCCCTCAGTAACTATACTTTCCGACGATACTTGTCTCAGTATCTTTCGTCGTTAGAATCTTCATATTTCTTACGTTTATATATACTTCTCGGCACATCATAATGCTCTCTTCGTCAAAACGTTTGCGTAAGCGTAGCTTGTGCGCGTATTCTTCTTTGCGTAAAATTTAATTAATTTTAATTAACGTTATTTCCTGCGGTGTAACTTTTATTTCGAATAAACAACGTTTATTATTTACTAGAGAAATCTAAGTGATAATACCTTGTCACTCCGTGCAGTGATCCTCGCGATTGTAATACAATAGAACGTTTAATCAAAAATCTTTTCGTGAGGCAGTGAAATAAATATGGTCGATGACACAAACGTACGATCATTTTCGTGGAAATGCTTTTTTAAATTAAATAAGAATACTATGACTGGACTGATGGAAACTGTAACGCGATGGTATTCCGTTAACGACTTTTATCGATGTCATTCAATTGATAACAATTGTAAAATGAAATTTAATGATACATTGATTAATTACCTTCGCTCCATACATGTGACAAGCGCTTAAGACCGTTTGCATTCCCAGCGAATGAAGTACAACCTTTATTTCGTTTCCGTGAAACTTTGAGGCTCGAAGATAACGAAGGGGGTCAGGATTGGTTCGTTACTACATATATTCGTTCCTCAAACGTCAAGTAACGTGCATTCAAGTCATGGTCGCCAAGCAACGATTAAGCGCTCCTCGTAAGACTTTCACAAGTCAATGTATGGCACGAAGGTAGGCCTGTCTCAGGACGGCTGAGGTCGAGTACTTTTTTTGCTGCTACCAAACGTGAACCAAGTGCCAACCTTACGTCCTAACGAGTTCGTTGCTCCTTGACCAACCACAGTTGGCATGTCGTAAGCGGACTCCCTTTTGTACGCTTTATCTGTAATTCAATTGTGACATAATCTCTTGTGTCTAAGGTACAAGCAACTCTCGGTTTACGAACAGCTATAAAGAACTCAAAAAAAAAAAAAAAAAAAAAAAAAAAAAAAAAAAAATACATCGTTGTTGACGTAAGAGAGCACTTGAGCTAATTACCCAACGATTTAATGAAAATAGATACACACCTTAATTCTGAAGAAGGATCTGATATTCTACACCCTCCCAGAATATCTATAATACAAGAAGATGGCTGTAGTTCTGAAATTAAACTCTAACGAGTTGACGATCTTTACAGCTAGAGACGCAAGTGAGGAAGGATTCGCAACAGTGGAAAGAGGAGTTTGTGACTGTCAGCAACATTCAGCACGTGTAACGAATGGTGTCTTAGAATAAAACTCGTTCGTGAACCTAAAGTTGCCTGTATCTCTCTCTTCATGATTAGGATAATAATCGTTCTACGTACTGCGAGGTTTGATTGGTGGTCTGTTCTGCTGCCTGGTCGCCGCGAGCCTGGCTAATTGTCTGGCTGCAGCTGGAAACTCCAGACCATCGTTCCTGTCTTGAGCAACTAGTCTCCGTTCCTCCGCCATGGCTGCCAACCACCGACGCTTCTCTTCCGCCGTGCGACAGCAGAAGAGCAACCATTTATCTCGAACGCAACTGTACACCTTCAGACAGTGTCTCACTGTCACTCCCAACTGATGATCTGTAAGTGAACGGGACACATTTCTTAGTATAATCTTGGTTAAATAATTGAAAATTTACTAATAGGTAATCATCACATTCTTCGCGAATTACCTTTACCGTCAGGCACGTCAATTACTTCGCTGGTGTCAAGATAAATTCGACCTTTATATACGTAATTGTTTCTTTTTAATATATCCTTTTTACAATAAACTAATTGATGGTCGAACAGGAAGAGGGTGATGTTGTTCGTCCACATGCCAGTGGTGACTCTCATCGCATCGCCTTGGTAAATTAACTGGGATGAAACTTCTATGAGATCTTCACCCTATAACAGTAATCGGAGATAGTACGATTATTATAAAATCGAATTTTACTACGTTTTACGGTTCTTTTAAGCGGTGACTTTCCACAATAATTATATTGCAAACGATGTGAAAAATGCCTACCTCCCACCCCTCAACCCTTAACTGCCACGCAGCAAGCTTCTCGAGACTCTCCATTCGCCTCTTCCTTTCGTTGATTAAAACCGCAACATCTCGCATTGCCTCTAGAGCTTCCTGAATCTTAAGGTAATCCGGGTGGTCAGCTTTCGTGTATTTCAACAGCTCCGCCAATTGAAGCGGATATTTACATATTCGTTGCACAGGCGTTAACAAATACCCGTCCAAAGGAATCTCTATTAATCCTCTCATTAGTCTACATGCTTCGAAGAATTTACTATAACGGTTATGCTGATACAGTTCTTGCAACGTGGCGGTGGCCATCGGGTGACTGTTGCAGTACTCCGAGTACATACGGAATCCCGCCCTCTGAAAATGATTACAGCGACATCAAGCACGACGTAACGATTATTGTAACGCCATAAGTTGAGTGCTCTTTGGATTTCTTACGTGGTTGAGGAAACATTCACCGACGCAACTCTTGTACGGAGCGTTCCAGTCGATGCTAGACTCGAGATCCTTCAAAAACTCGGACTGGAAGTCTAGCAGCTCCTCGAGGTTGATAAAAATCGTTTCTATCTGTTCCTCGTTGAACATGTCCGTCCGCCGTCGACATTCGGCCACGTAGCCTTCCGCGACGTCTCTCAGTACTTTAACGAAGTCCCGTTCTGTTTGGACCAGTTCTCGAACAACGCTCGCCCTGACTTGCTCGTTCGACAGAAGCGAAACGCTGGTGCGTCTTCTCAGTTGGGTGGTGGACGTTCCTCCGGAGGCCATCGCAGCCAAACAATCCTCGACAGTGTCTTCTTGGCTTACGCGTAACTGGACAAGCAAAGATCCTACGTACTGTACGAGTCCAACGTTTTGGGAAGAATAATTTTTAAAATATGGAGTTGGAGTTCTTCGAGTTTGTACACTTTTGAGATGTTATCTACTGCAAAAAAACGCTGGCCTATGTCAGGTCTGAACTGTGTAGTTGCAGCAACACTTTATAGAGTTATTATTAACACATTCGCGACCGCTGATGTGAATTCACGTCACTTCAAATTGTAGAATCTTATTATTTTATATATATTATATTACTTATAATTATGAAAATCTTTTTATTTTATACACTACATATTTACAACATTGATATTATAAAACATATTTTATTATTTTTATCTTCGCTCTAATGATACAAATTTGCGACGTCCAGCTTCAGAGTTTTATTATTTTTGTCAGTACTCGGTATTAGAAACGTAAAATATCTGCCGGTCGCTAATGTGTTAAGTCATCTCACGAGTTCATGGCATTTGTTGTTCTGCTGTTCAAGCTAATATGTAACGTCATACCCTGACAAATGCAGCCGGGAACCACCCATGCTCGCCTCTGCAGTTACCCCACCACCAGTCCTTGTCCAGGTTGTCCAGGACCTCAATCACGTCGCCAGCACGAAAAGCCAGCTCCTCTGGTTCCATCGCCACGTGGTCCCAAACAGCTTCAGCCAGTATTACAACCTCCTCGTCCATCGTCTGCTCGAAGGACTTCTTTCTGTCCGTCAAGGAGGCGATGGAGGATTCGGAGTCGGACATCATCTCGTCGTCGGACGTTCCACCTCTCCCGTCCTGTTCGTCCTCGGACAGGACGTTTCCACCGGGCAACCTCGCGCCTACATTTCAAACAAACGAGCGGTCTTCATCACGGGAACAAGCTACCAGCACGCAATTCGATCATCTCTCTTTCTACTTTCGGTCCTGGGCCCGCGTCTCGGTTTCGGAACCGCTTAGACTTTAATTCGCAATACGAGAAAGCAGTCACATGTTCGAAAAATCACCCTGCAGCTATCCATCGTAGGCGTTGATAGGCAGCGAAAGATTAAAGAAAATGTCGTTTATGATGTTTGACAGAAGGGTGACCAATCTTCTCGTTGGAACCTCGCGAAAGCTACCGTTGGTATGTTAAGTGCTTATCAGCGTGAAAAGATTGCAAAGTGATACAGAGAAAGTAATGTTTTCATTCACTATGCGAAGTTTCACGAAGTTCCCTTGGAAGTAATTAGTCTCTACTGTAGCTTGCAAACAAAAGCGTATTCACAAGAAGCAGTCCTTACGGAATGAAGATATCAACACGATTAATACAGGAGTGTTCCGCATTCCTTAATGTCAAGTAACTCTTCTTACAAGGTGCGTTCCGTTACAACGGTGAAATGCTTTAAGATCTTTACAAGGGTGCATGCCAATTTAGAGCACTCTCGGAAGTTGTGTCTAGAGAGAAACTGGATACCATTTGGAGTAGAAAGTGTGCACTAATTCTTCGTCAACGGGTTTGCTACCAGTGAATCTTTCTTACCAAGCAAACGAGCGATATGTTTCAAATCCTTTTTAAAGATATCTTTGACTGTGACAAACATCGGCGAAATAACGCGCGAGGTAATGAAAATATAATGTCCCAGGTTTGTTTATAATCAGGAACTCAACGAATCACTCGTTTGTTCGGGAGGAAAGCAAAAAAGATGTCTACGTTAGGACTTGGACAGTATCGGTCGAGGGTTTCGATTTCAAATTGACGAGTGTTAGGTTTACCTGCAGTTTTGGTGCGCATCAAGGGTGATAGCTGATTGATACCCAGTGGTTGGCTAAGTGAACGCCTCAAATTTGTCCGAGAACTCCTCCCTTTCGCGTTACTGGGACCAGAATAAAATCGCCGTTAATGGTCTCCTTCATCCGTACACGGTCGGATAGAAGATCAACAAGCTTGTGTTTACGTAGAAGCATCGATACAACATTCAGCAACGAATTACAATAGGTAAGTATATATGCACACGACAAGGTATACACGTGTATACAGAGTGGTTCTGGATATTGGCCTACCTCAATCGCTCATTTTCTTATCCTTGTTTCTTACATCGAATCCTACAAAATATCCCGCCACGAGTGCTGCAATCACTCTACATGCAAAACTAAACAAAATATGTACATTCTATTTATTTATGTTAATCCTCGTAAAGGACACAGTATAGAGAAATATATTATGTAATCAAGACAATATTGCAAATTTTACTCTTGTTTGCTCGATATAACAAAAAATTACACAAATATTATACCACATAATCCTGTACATTGACAAGAGCAAAAAAAAGGAAAAGATGACTTTTTTTTCTACACTTGTTTTTGCACGTAGAATTCATCACGGGACATCCTGTATATTCCTTCGGAATTGTCGTAATCAATTGCCGGCAAACTTGTTACCAACAGCCACTAACTACTCTAACAACTTCAATACGTCTAATTCAATTAGTCTCTGTAATTTGCGATTAATCCTCTAAGCAGCACTGAGATTGTTGGTTGAAAAGGATCGAAAGACATTCCTAAATGACAATCGAATAATCTCGATATTTCTATTCGTGTGTAGGTGATCTAAGTCTATGTGGTTCGAGACTCTGTATGCAGAATAAACAAGTATAAAAAAAAAATTGATCAGGCTTTTGTACAAAGGACGTGAATGTTTTCTTGCAGCGGTTTGCTCGTCGATACGAAAGAACCACTCCGTACATTGTTACGCGTGGCAGACCAACTTGTTTTACGAGGAAAAATTAAAAGAAGGTGGTTTGTTATAATACCCGTTTACCTACCACTATTCTCCCTCGATTTACTGGAAAGGTTCGAGAATAAAGAATTTAAATTTCCTTCAAGGACAGTTTTCAAGGATTTATTTTGATGATTGTCTAATGTCGTGCTATGATTCGTTTATAGTTAATCGAAAAAAAGAAACAGCGAGCCGTTCGGATAACGTCCGTTTAAAAGTAGACAATTCGTTCGCGCGCCGAGATATAGAGAAAGCAACGATAACGAAAAAGCACCTAATATCTTTCCGTCGTTTACATGTCGGACGGTGTTGATAATTTCATCGCGTTCGTCACGGGCGAAACATTTCATGAGAAACCCAAACGATCGTCGTATACGGAGTGCTTGACGGATTTTCGTGTCAAACTTTGCGTGTTCCGCGGCCAAAAATAATACAAAAATGTCAAATGCTTAACATTTAAGAAAGCATGTATGGACGCGCGTTTCTATGCCATTTTGGATATCATGATGTTAATGCATTTTTAGTCGCAGAACTTTTATCCGTGAAAGTTTGCATGGAACCCCATAGGACACCCTGTATAGCAGAGGTAAAAGTTTCTCAATAATAATGGAAATTTCTAATATACGCGCTACGGATCGTGAATTCTGTCTAATCGTTCCAAGTTTTCAGTTTTTTCGTCGGGGAGCCTGGCTCTTGCTCGCAGATGGCGAAAAGTCAATGAGGCGTTTGCGATAAGGGTGCGAGAGCACGAGATGGATCACGGTCGTTAAACGCACCTTCTCAGCGTAACGATGTCATGGGAGGAATGTCTCGGACTGAGCCTTGGAGGCCTCGTCTTGATAGGCGAAGGAGTCGAGAGCATCCTGCGATAATTGTGCGCGTGGCTGTAACCAGACCTCGTGTCCCACTGGAGTAACCTCTGACCTCCTAAATCGCTGTTCGTTCTTCTTACATGCTGGTGCCTCGACGTTCGACTCTGGAGATCCGCCTGAAATTATTACGGCCCTGTTAGCGTCAACGTCCACGTTCATTTTCGTTCGAAGCGAAGCAACGACTCTTCTGGGCGTGACGCCAGGCCAGTCTTCCAGAATATTGGTAAGCTGTTACATACACTGTTCCCACTTTGGCTTAGTACAGTGGTTCTTGACCATCTTAAGCTCATAGCATAGTTTAGAGATTTTTAACCCTTTGCACTCCTGAGGCCACCTGTACTGAACTCGAATGCGTTCTACTCGTACGGCCAATGTCACTGGCCACAATTTATCATTAAGTTTCAATATTCTTAAGCAACAGCGTTACAAGATACGTTAGTTTTCCATTATTTGTTTCAAACAACTTCATATAAATAATCAAACGAAGGACAATATCTCCATTAAACTATCATAATTTACGTATGATTATGTTTGATTAATAAAAATGTAAACTTCTACAAAAAAAAACGTATAATTTAACAAACTCTAAAGAGTTTTTCATGGTCGTTCCATAAATCAGAAATCTAAGAAAAATGGTCTTGAAGTTGTCTACCTGCATATAGCCAAATTGCTTGGAGTGCAAAGGGTTAATATTTTTGATGATAAAGATTGTAATCGTGAATAATATCAGTAATATAATAATGTTTGCTTTTAACATAGACTCTGCAGCACAGCGGTTGAGAAGCGCTGATTTAGAAACATACAACATAGACGTCGGTTAATAAACAAATAGAGAGAGTTTGTAACGGTTGTGATAGTCAATGTTTTTACGATCACGTAGCAGTTGGACACAGATGGGCAAAAGTCTCTTATATTCTATTATTCGTGCAATAAAAATTACAATTTAAATCGAATGAATCGCTCATGGCTTTACTTGTTAGTCGACGGACATCTTTTGTTCTCGATGAATTATTTCAGCGCTTTTCACGTTTTTACACTCCCTAACTTTCGAGAATTCTCGTTGAAGTTTTGAATTGGACTTAATTAGAATACACTGGCGAGGAAGGTTCTTCGAAAATGATCGCTAGGTCACGAACAAATTGATCGACTACGAGGCAAGCTATGATGATTCGACTTTCGTACACGATTCCATAAATCGTGCTCGTTCGAGCGGACAACTCGATATCAACTAACCAGGATTGCGCTTCCTCTCCTCGTATCCTGGCTAACGCGATATATTCTCTCGCCGCCTATCAGGGACTGCCAGTGATCTGTACGAGCGTGGCTAAACCGTATACAAACGTGAGTAATGCGAGTTATTGTGCCGAAGGAAATAGTCATACGTGCGACCTGATAATGAATACAAATGTGTGACGCTCGCAAAGCAAATATAAATCATCAACCAGAGAGCGGCATTGTGACGTGCATCAAAATTGCGCAGAAATTATTCAAAAGACGCTTCCGACCGCGGGTACCGATGATTTATAATTGTACAAAGTAAGATCCATCCTTAATCCTCCTTAACCTCCTCAGTCCTGAATTTCGTCTACTGTTTTTCTTCAATAAATATAACCGAATCAGAAAGTTTCAAATTATACGTACAGTTTAATAATTACGATATTTATCGACTCATTACTAGTGTCAAAGTTCATACAAGTGTGAATTAATTTCGGTTATGGCGAAAATTTAATTATTGTGTATTCAGAAATAATGACACAGTCAACGTACAACAGGCCTGAGGAGGTTGTCAAACCCAAATAATCGTTAGTGTTTCAAGATAAATTAGTCGACCCAACAACGGAAGAGGATTTCGCATTAAACAGAACGATCGACAAACCTTCGTATAATGCTTTCGAAATGTTAATACGAACACTGCGTATAGCGGGTAACAGGGCAAAGAACGATAGTCTTTACCTTAAACTTGTCGATCAGTATCTGGTTGATGAGCTCGGACTGGGGTCGTGATTTGTCGGCGACTCGCCTACGAAGGGCTGGAGGGCTGTCAGTCTCGTCTTGGACATCTGTGTCGTGGGACTCGGAGCTATCACCACCCCCCATCATTCCACCACCACTGCCCCCAGTCAATGCTCCACCAGATACCATCTGTATCGTTTACAATTTTATTTCATTATTACCATTTTTTCGCAGAGTTCTTCAACTGCAGCGACACGTTATGTAACGACAATTTGGGATGAACGAACTAGGAAAAGAAGATATTGATTGCTCAAGGTCGCTGGACGACTATCCCCACCATATGTTTGATTATTAGGGGAAGAGTCTGTTTGAATAGTATTAGGGGGATCGAAAAGTAACGTCATTTCTGTTACATTACATTCAAATAAATATATTCTTAATAAGCTTTTAATGAAGTATGTAACCACCCTCGTTATTTGCAGCCTTTTGCCATCTAGTGTGCAAATTTTCAATGCTAGATCGATCAAAATCAATAATCTGATAAATGATAAATAAGTATTGAAATTCGTAGAAACGACATTACTCTCCAGTCCAGCTAATAGGAAGCTACTCTGAGCGATCAAATTCTTCTGTCACACTAGTTCTAGTAATGATCACGTTTCGATAATTAAACAGCTTCGACTCCTCTCCTCCCTCTCTTTCGTTTTGCGTCCGATGAAAGTAGTGCCTTAGAGCTAAAGTGCGAATATATTTTTTGTTCGACATTAAATGTGGCGTTATATTACCTCGATCTGTATTCCACTGTCACCGCTGTTGCATTTCGCATTTCTGGCAGCTTTGTTGCCCTTTTTCCTCTCCTTGCTGCTTCTCCATACGAGAGGACCGAACCTGCCAACATCAAGAATCCATCGTCGATTCAATTCTATCCATTGAATTACCAACTATCGGGAATTTGATCAACTGACCGAAATTTCTGGTCGTTACTGGTATCCTCCTTATGCTGAGGAGTTTGTTCAGACACAATCGGCGGGTCTCGTTCCTCTTCTTCGTCCAAAGGGCCGGAACCGTCGTTATCCTCTACCGGGAACTCGCTCTCGGTGCTCTCTTTGCTGCCCTTTTTGTGAAACCTCAAGGAGAAGCTCTTCCTGAATTTCTGTAGAACGCTTTCTTGTTGGTTCTGCGTGCTCGAACGGGGAGGATTCTGGGTTCCGGAAGTGGTCACGATATTGGCACTCAAGTTAGAGGGTTGCTCTTGGAGACGCGAATGGGAGACCAAGGGAATCGTCGCCTCGGCCAAAGGATGCTCGGTTGTTACGTGACCGGTTGTACCCTCGTCCTCTTCGTCCCCCGACCACTGTCGACTACACAAACAAACATGATGGAATATTACTTTCAGGATTTTATATTCTGGAATCTATATCTAATGTCAAATATCGCGAGTTTCATGGAATGTCAACGGTATTTGCGAGTAAGAGAAATCATGAATTATGGAAGATCCACCAACTATCGCTTTGAAACAGATTTTTTCATGTTCAATTCTCCATTAATTTTGTGAGTATCGATTACAAAAAGTTTTTAAATGGTCTGTATTGAAACCTTTTGACCTCCGATAAACAAATAAATGAATGAAGAAAGATTTTTAATTTTGCAGCTCACGCGAATCGATTATAGACGTCGATCGATTTAATCATTGGCCCAATCAATAGGCTATTGTAATCGTGAGTGGGAAATAATCGACGACCCGTAGGAAACTTAACACCGTTTCTTCCTGCTGGGACTCCGCAGGAGACGCGTCGTAAAATTGATAGATCACGAAGATACAACGCGCGCTGCGTTACCGCGCAGCAATTCATGTATAGCTGGACACCGTACTGCAGCAGCTGACGAAGTGACTGTACGAGGCTGCATAACGGAAACGACGCCGTCACGGAACAGCCTCTGTGGTGGCCTTTGAGAACGGAAACCCGCGATCCGAGTGAGTATTTCAAAAGCGTTTTGTAGTCACGCCGCGTTCGATTACTAGAACTCCGATTACGTGTCGCATTTCCAGAATACACCTGACGATTCATTATTAATTTCCCAATTAACCGATTAGTCCATCTAAAATTATTCGTTTTAACTCTTTGAAGTTAGGTGGGTTAAAAACTATCCCACCTTTTACTTAGCTTTACTATTTTATTTAGAGTTAAAAAAAAAGTTGATATTATCATTTTTAAAAGTCAGTTAAGCCTTTTGGAGCTGTAATTAAATTTTACATACACATATCGTACACATGACGAAACAAGTAATATACAAGTAAATTAATTCACAATTCGCGGCATTCCCGCGTTAATTACACTCAGCATGAGCATACAGCAAATATTTTTTGCTCCGAAGAGGTGAGAACCGTAAATCAACCGCGCATACCGTAGAAACAGATGTTATGGTTTCTCATTTTTTCGACAACGCTTTTTGTACACGGTGGTTTTCTGTGTCGAATTAACAGGGAAACATTGCGCAGCGTCACGTACCACATCATGGAGGCGATTTTGATCAATTTTTTTGCCCAGCAGAGAATTTATCCGGCATATTTCATTATTTCTTGCTCCAGCAACATTTTCAACTTCCCGTCGTGTCTCGTTTGGCTCACTTTACTTCTCGCATTATCAGCAACATCAAGCAAGAAAAAACGTTGGCACTTGTAAAGATTCGACGTTCAATTTACCACACAAAAGTAAAGACGATACGATTTAGATTCGATATCAGAATATTGTTAGAAACTTGCTCCACGATTAGCACCGTTGTCGACGAGAAGATGTTTCCCCTTTGCGAACAGGTTTCCGCTTATAGCTACCGATTCAACGCATTCGGATCCTCGAAATTACTATACACACGAAGAACCACTTGCAACCACTTTTAGGCAGGAAATGCGTCGAGTGTCGGTCGCAGACTACTGAAACCTTCGGATGCCACTCGAGGCCACGTATGCGTGTATACGTGTGCGATGCTTAGACCTATACACATCGTGTTATAACGATATTCATGGAAACCTTCCTGCTAGCCAGAATTTATTCCACGATAAAGGTCTACCAGTCGCGCACACTTGTTGATCGAAGGAAGTAGTCACGTGCACGCACTCTGTTATAATCGTAGGGACGAACACAGACCGATGATTTTGAGGCACGCACTCTGGTTTCCACGCACGTTTTTAAAAAACACCTGGATAGGAGCGTTAGGTTTTTAAGTACGTTCAAGCGGAAGTTAATTCCTTTGTGATCGTGTTTCGATGTTGTCAATGTTGTTTCACTTTTATGATTTTACTTCTGCAGCATATATGTAGAAATTACAATGAAAATTGTGAAAAATATAATTTAAATTTAAACGATGTCATTTGAAGTATTTTATTTATCTTCATTGGAGATTAATTCAATCTCGACTTTGAGACCAGGAGTTTTCTGATCCTGTATAGAGAAAAATCAAGTGTATATAACGAAGCAACAAATATTTTGAGGAATTCCCCAAGGAAAACTTGCTCGTGCAAGTTGACAATATATCGTCTATATAAATTATGCGCAAGTGTTTATCTAAAATGACACTTTGGGGACGAGAGGGTGAAGCACGAGTTCCCCCAAGGTCTCTCTAGTTCTCATTTCCGTCTCACAGACACGAATATACGAGTATCGCGAAGACACATTCCGCGAGCTGCGTGCGAAAAGTTGCAGGGACACTTTCGAAAATAAGAAAATCGGTCGGAACCACTCTTGCCCAGGAAGTGCATTGAACGGCGAGCTCCGGACGACTGAAGGCTCCGACAGGGCACATAAACCCACCGGCTCTCACGTGCGTTCCACGTGTGTGCGTGTCGGGGTTTAGTGTGCCAGTGCACCTCGTGAACTCTTCCGAGAACAGATTTCAAGGGTCGCTTCAGGTATAAACCGACACCGAGGGTTGCTGCGTCCTCTACCTCCAGCCCCTCTCAGCTAGGTGCCTCTTTTTCTTTCTTCTTCTCCTTTCACTGCCTTTCACCCCCGTTTCCTCTTTCCTTCTCTCGGCGATCGTGGGCGGGAGAGGAGCGGCCAAGGAGAGCCCGTCGGTCTCCACAAAAGGTACCATTTATCCATTGTAGTGACAGTGGCCCTGCTGCTGCTGCTCCTCTTCCGTTCCTCATTTAATCGACGGAATTTTTACTTTTCCTTTCCTGGGATTCGCCACCTTCCAAGTACTCATTTGACACGGTACAAGTATAGTCCTTTGCTCAGGAGTTGGCGAGGTAGTTCGATTAGCTGTCATGTAATGGTTACATCAGCAAAGCTATCGCGTGACGAAGACCGCGAATGGGACATATCGAGATAAACTGAGAGAGCAAAGTAATCATTGATATTAGGAGGACCGAAAAGTAATTAAAATCTCTTCGACTTGAAAATGTTTTTCAATGAAAAATCGAAGGACTTTTTTAAAAAGGAGATAACTACATCTACGCTAGCAGAAAGTGTTAGAAAATTATGGAAACTATTTTGTTGATTAGTATTTACGAATTTTTTAATAAATAAATGTTGACAAAATTTTCATTACTTTCCGGTCCCCCTAATATATATGTAAGAAAGATTAGCCAATAATGTGGCGTGGACTATACAGTGTGACTGTTCGAAAGAGAGCGGGGCCTCCCTACTTTTCCTTGCGCCGTTCTGCTCGTAGGTGCCTCGCCAACCCCCGAGCAATATACAGTACCTCGCGTTCTGTCGTTCTTGTTAATCTCCGTCGGCGTTCTCATTTCCCGTTCGACTATTTTACCTCTGTCTGTTCGTCTCTCGATCCGTCTCGATATCGATACTGTAATCTTGCAGGAGCACTGGTCGACGTCTACGTTCCGCTAGTTTTTATGTTAGATCGTTCGGTTTTTACTGATTTCGACGAGTGATGCTCGATTACTTCCCCTTGTATCTCTTTTATCAATGCTGTACGAAATGTTATCGTTCGACCTCCAGATGTCATAAAGATCCCTAAAGCAGCACAACTGTAGAGTTTGCCTGTTGGTTATAACCTCACAATATAATCTTGATCGATGTGTCCGACTTTCCAGGATTTCCGAACTATTCTTGAAAATTCCCCAAATTATTTGTAGCTGCGCAGAGAAACGTTAACAAGAGTTTCACATAAATCGAGACGAGCGCCTACACTGTTGGACTCCCGAAAATTAGGCAGCTCCAATCGGAAGCTGGAATGGAACAGTCACGTTTGCAACATTATTATTTTTTATAGAGCATCAATCTCTTGCTAACTTTCCTAACGTCTTCCCTTTCGATTTATAACTTGTATGTGCCGTGGCACGTGGTACGGATGGACGATAACTCTCCTTTTTATCGATTTGTGTACATATGTAGCGCCAGCGCGCGTAGGTGTAGTAACTTAAACTTCTACGAGCATTACGTGGGCGTCGGAACGTGCTTAACGCTGTTTTGACGAGAAACTATTCCTTAATTTACTCGATCGACGAGGCTTCATCTAGTGTATCTTTAGCAAAAACCTCCGAGCGGCGAGACTTCGAAATTAGTATTGGTTGCGATGAGATTAAGATATTTTTAATCCCCCAGAAATATAAATTCGTGTTTACTTTCATGTATTGCCTATCATAATTTTAAATTGTGTGTTGTAGCTCCAATTTTTTATTCACCTAGTTATTATACGTCACATACATGTTTTGGCCGCTGTTACTGAAATTTAAATATAATAAACAGGAATGTTTAGAGTGTTAACAACACGAAAGGACCGTAGCTGGATTAAAAGCTGAGAGAGTAAGCAACCTTCGGGCGCTACGCGAAGAAATTTTTAACAGCCAAATCGCAAATTCTAAGAGAATCTTCAATAAAGAGAAACTTCATAATTCGTCTACAGGAAAAAGTAGGAAGTTCAGAGCGTCCATCGAGGTAAAGTTTCGCTCTTGAATAGGTCGCGAGATGAGCTTCCATCGCGATGGAGACGAGGGATATTAAAAAGACGAAGCTCCCCTTTAAACTGTCTTCTAAGAGTCGTCCATTTTTTGTGCGTCGAATTACAAATCAATCTCGAGCGACGGCTTAAATCGTCCCGTGATGAACGTAACATCGAGGAAAAAGTTTCGGGACGATTTAGGTCGATGGAAAACGATTTTAGGTAATCGTGGTAAATAGAGAGAAGTAGTCGATCGTGGAACGAGGATTAGCGCTCGAATGGAAAATTTCAATCCCGAAAAAGTAATCGTTTAAAAGCCCGGCGCCGAAGACATTGATTTACAATCGCATCGAAATCTCAAGATTACGGAAACTTTTAATTGGATCCAAACAACGTTTCCTTCTACCTTCGAATTCGCCTCGTTGTCTTCGAGACAGGATTTCGAACGCGGGAACGTTCGTGCGCAAGCGAGAGGGAATTTTGCGGCGTTAAACGAAGCGAAAGTGAAACGACGCGACCATGATGAAGCCAAGAAAGGGGAACTTACTGTTTCCTGTAACTTCAAATTAGAATAATGTCGAGCTACGTTTCATCGTCGGAACGGCCGAGTCCCGAAAAGTTTCGGAGCGGAGAAAATTAACGTTCCGCTAAGTTGTTGCGCGCTCGATGAAACTGCGACAAGCTTGTAAAAGAAGCCACGAACTGCTTTCGAATTCTGCAGACGACTGGCAAATTTTTAAAAGAAGCACTTCTCTAATGCATACCTAAAATTAAGAAGTATCTATCAGTCTAAGTGTTTATAAATACATGAATCAAAAATACGAGGGTGGTTTTATTTAAGGGTGAAAGTCAGGTTTTTAAAAATATTCATCTGTGTGTATAAATGTAAGACAAATTCATTAATACAGAAGGTTTCTCAAATTGAGTTAATTTTTGCAAGCCAACGAGGAACTTTTTGATAAATATTAAGTAAGAAGCAGCAGAGTTTCGTCCCCGAATTACCGAGAGACAAATCCTTTAACGAGGCAGACTAGAAGCAAAGGAATACTTCTAACCAGAAATTATATTGTCCCCTGGAAATTATAGCGTACAGAAGTCGCACAATTAAAAGGCACACGGGCCGTGATTAAAGTTAGTGCGATTAAATGTTTCAAGCCAACCGAAGAACAGCGACTTTTTCGCGAGATATGAAGAAGCAAAGGTCTCGGCGTGAAACGAACCGGAAGCGAAGGGCCTTCCGTGAAACTAAAGAGAATGTCGCGAGAGATTTTCTATTCACCTCGTAATTAGAGCAACGACCGGATGAATGTTCGCCTAGGTACAAAGTCGATGGAACCCGAGACGGGTCATTCGAAATAACGTCTTTATTCTTGCCTCTCCCGGCAAACAACCCCGGCTGCGAGACACGCCGAGGGGATCAAGAGGTCACGATGGAAAGCTGGAAAGCAGGAGGATGCACTTCAAACGAACCTGGACGCGATCAACTCGGGACCTTTGATCTATTCCCTGCTCTTCGATGAACCGTTTTTTTTTTGGAACTATTTTTAGCCCCTCTCCCATCGTTATCGTCTCGTCGACGTTGTCGATAACCTCGCCAACTGGAATCACCGGTTTTGGCGAGCGACATTTTTTCCCTCGATAAGGAAGACAGCGAGCTTTCAAAATTCCCGATGACACGTTCAAAAATAATGATTGATATTTTTGTTCCCTCGCAATGCTACACTTTTTTCTAACAGTTCTGCCTTCACTGTTTTCGAGCACCTGTTTCGAGCTGTCTTCTCCAGTTTTTCTCTTCGCCTCAAATTGGGTGTGTAATACTTTTGTAATATTAAGATTTCATTTGTTATCAACGTAGCATGATCAATTTTAATTAATACGTAATTCTCTACGTAATTCTCTTTCGTCTTCAACTTTCTGTTTCGATTTACCACTTCAACACTCAAGCGTTGGGAACGTTTTAATAAAGCTCGGACTACAATGTTTATGAATTTGTAATTATTATTATGCAGAGGTCGACGAGCTAATCTTGACAATTAGGTTTCGTAACAGTAATTTATGTCGCATCCCGCTTATTATTCTGCTCTTTGTACGGCCTTGGCTTGTGGCTCGATCCCCGTACTCTGTCACACGCAGTACGATGAAATCAATATTATTATTGCTATCGTCGAAACGTTATATTTTTATATATCTTGTAAATTTGTTCCAAAAATAAATTCGTCAACCGTCCTATTTACTTCGCGCGAGGGAGGTCGACTCTATCCTTTTAATATTTGCCTGTACAATATTTTTTTTTGTCCGAGGCAAATACGGCTCCCTGAAATAGGAAAATCTTTGCGCAAAGCCCACCAGGCACGAAACAGACAGGTTTCATAACTTATCACGCACAACCCCAGATGTTTGTACGAGACAAGACGACGGAAAGTGGAAGGAGAGGACAAACACACCCCGAAGAAACGCAAACCACCAACGTGTCGATTCCGAGAGCCACGCACTTGCTTACGTAACGCTTTATATAATTATTTATATTGCTTCACTTCCGAGAGACATTTCAATACGGCAACGTCAGCAATATGTACGAGGGTGTTGCAGATGAAATACTTTTTCGGTCAAACCGAGTATTTGATTGAAAATGGAGAATCTTTTTGACTTTTCGAAAATTTCTAGAACATCACGAAGTACTTCACGTCCGATATCCAACTTCGGGAAAAGGGAGCACTTTTAAACATACAGCGGGCGACACAGGAGAACGACTTGTAAGATAGAAACGAGAGGGAGGTTTGAACGTCGATAAAATCACTACCGTGATACTTTCCGGGACTCAATGAATTATAACTTTCATTCAAAAATAACTCACCTTTCCACTTCACGATCTAAGAGCGCCGGCGTGCTCGACGCTTTGATACGCCTCTGCGCCTTGCTCAGCCCAGGAATTCGTCTTTTCTCCTTACCAGGGTACGCGCCCAAGCGTTGATCGTGCAACGGCTGCAACGGAAACATAAACAGAATTATTTTACACGCTTGCGGGGCATAATTGTGCGAAGCTTCGATCAAAATGCTAGATGTAATAACCCAACGATAACCCCACGCGGGAAAGCTGCGATCTAGTCGATCGTTCCCATGATTCGATACGCACGAACGCCTTTGATCAACCGTGTATCTGGACACGCTTATCGAAACGGGTCTATAATAACAGAATATTCGATGCAGTATCTTGTTAGCGAATTATTTCATAAGTGGGACACGGATTATTTTTTATGTTATTCCCGTCTGTGATACTACCCCCATATTTGCGTTTGCGTTCGATATTCCTTGTTGCCGAGCATGCCAAACAACGGGATGTAGATCGTATCGAACGCGTTGCATTGCGAATTTGCGATACGATGAGATACTGCTTCTCGAGTGTTTCCGATTTAACGATCGACTAATTGTTGAAATAATGGAATACATGTTTATGTAATTGATATGTTGGGTATTAAACCGAGAGCTGGAAATGATATTGTATTATTATATATTAAGCATAATATGTTAATAACAGAGTATTTGGAGTGTGATTTGTATTTTCATCTCACGATCTGTTAAATCAATCGTGTACCCTGGAGCCTCACCAAAATTTTTATTTTTTTTTACAAAACGAATTGTCGATATTTAATGCGGCCTGAAAATTTTGTGCAATGCATCACGGCGACGTCGTTCCAGCCATCGATTCACTTGCTAATCGAGATAAACAAAACGAGCAAAGAGAGACCGATAATTCGTTGTCGTATCGTCGGCGGAGTTAATTGCGTGAAACTGATTGCCGTATCGGGACAGTTTCTCCATTGCCAAGTGTAACGATCGAAAATCTGCGTGTGTCGCAATGATTTCGTCGTGGTTTGCTGCTTGCGCTGGCTGTTGCAGCGCGGAAATGAAGGGGGTTGCAAATGGGCACAGTGCCACAAAGGTTGATTATATCTGCGGCCGTCTCCTTGGCCGTTACAACGTTTTGCTAATTAAGACCCGACCACTGAAGCGACGCTTTACACACTGTATTTTAATGTTTTAATAAAACGCACGTCCGTCCACTGTTACTCACGCGACACTCAATTATTGTTGCGCGACAAACCGAAATAAAAAAGACGATCCAATTATTTTAAAAATATCGTCCCTCGCTCGGGGCGCACTCGTTCCTTCGAGGAGCTCCTTCTCTGCTCCAAGGTGGCACCGTAAGAAAGTTTAAGTGCGTTTCCAACGAGAATTTAGGTCACAATCAGAATAAGAAAAGTTGCGACATTTTTATGAATTTTCAGGTTTAGCGAATTCTAACAACGATTTCGAAGCATTTAAATCTTCGAGCGGTAATCCAAACATTTCTATTCTTTGCTTTAACTTCTCATTTTGCTGTCATACGATTTTTTTTTATATAAAGGAATTATTGTTCTTCATTCCTTTGTAACCATTTATGGGCCTACTCTTTTTTTTTGTTTTATTTAATATTGTTAACTTTAGCAAATCCATGTTCTTTACCCAATATCTCTTTTGAGACAGTTTTACAATCGCAGACACGCTTTTCCACAGTTTCGAGAATCAGCGAACGCAAAACGCAACTACTTCGTGAAACGAACCAGAGAATGTGTTTCTCATTTTGGTGGGTGATTCAACCCGCAAATCTGAATCACGTATCGCGGCCAACCGCAACAGAAGCAAACACTGTCAATGAATATTTTCCGGGTGGCCGAATTTGTTTTGTATCCGAAATTCAGCGACATGGACGTTTATAAATTTGAATTCGAATGGACGGCTGTGCACACAACCAACCGAGACAAAAGCCAATATGTATTTTCATTATGATTCCGTTTCGTCCAGTTTCGTGGTCTGCTTTACCGTTCTCGTGTCTACGATCGAGTTTTTGAATTTATCTCGATACACCAGCGCGCGCACTTGGAAAGATTACAGAGCGCAACGATGCCATCGTGGTTCTGGAGCCGGCCTTAATGAATAGTTTTAATTAAAGCTCAGCACGAATGCTCGCGTGAACTATGCATATTCAACGCTGTAAAATATTTTTCGCGGTTCTCGCCTCGATTCCCTCGTATTCCTTCAATGTGCTAGAGTTAGAGAGCCGTCTATTTCTTAATTAGATACTTTGCAATTTTTTACGTGTCCTGTTAGGTTGGTGGTAACGAGTTCACGTCTTAACAGACCCTACTCGGCTTATCCTAAACAGCAAAAACGATTTTTTTTTACTAGAAGAACTGACCATGAAATTGACCCTTGATCCTATTAACAGCACTCTGAGAAACATAAAAATAAGCAAAAGTAGAGTTACACGTGCTAATAAATATGACAACCATATCAAACAAGCTAAAACCTACAGATCTTTCTTTGTCAAAAGAATAAATGACAAAGAGCCGGCATCTTTTAAAAATAGCTAAAAGAAAAACAGTGAATGGAGTACCCCACTGCAGTATTTCAAGATTAGCCATCTGCTTGACACAGCATTAGTCTAAGCCGTTTTCCTTTCTCGTCATCCACTTTCTGAAGTTTCATCCTTAAAGCTCCAGTCTAAGTAGCTGAAAAAAATACGTATCCCTTAATGTGATCCAATCCACCGAAACCAAAGTACAGCCATCGAAATTCGATATCGAATACGTGGTGGATGTTTCTGGCAAGCCAGACGATTCGCAGTAGAATGCGTAAAATCCAGGAAAAGCGTATTGGTTGTCAAGATCTCTCTAGAGGCTGAGTGGAAAGAGGAGGGAAGCGTGAAGGCAAATAAACGGAAGTAGAATCTAGCGAAGCGGTCGTTTGTAATTAAGAGAACGAGACAATGGCATCGAGACATTTCGGTGTGCTGAATTCCTTCGCCGTGCGCCCTATGACGCGGACAATGCTCGTCCTCGAGGAGTCAAGTGACTTTTCGACCTCCCTTTAGAAACGCCGCTGTGGACAGAAATGCGGTCCGAGCTCGTTTACGAAACCGGAAGTTGGTTACGACGGCGATCGATATTCTGTTGCGCCGACCTGTCCGCCCTCTACACCAGGGATTCCCTAAATTGGAACAATTGCACGGATGCATTTCATTGGAGCTCAAACGCGTTGCATCGTACACAGTGTGGCCAGCAAGCGATGAGCATCGCTAGAAAAGGAGACGTTGGTCCTGATGAAACATTAAACATTTAACATTAACATTAACATTAACATTAACTCGATCATTCTACAGACGTAACTAATTACAACAACATACTTTAATTGCCTGAACAATTGCTCTAATTGCCTTACTTATCTAAAAACATTAATCTTCTTAGTCATATGTGGATTGTGACTACAGTAGAATTTTGGAAGAGTCACTCTATAATAAAATTTCTGCAAACTTTGCATGCAAGCATGCCTCCATGTTAGAGTTCCAAAGTTTGTCTTGCCCCTAGAGAAAAACAGACATTTCATGCGTCATAACTTAACATTTTCCAATTTGTCCATCTACTGATTCTTATAGCTCGATAATTATTGTCAACTACGACAAAGAAAACTGTCATAAACTGTCCCTACGCTGTAATGCTAAGTATCGATCGAAGGGATCATAAATGACGGCTGTAAAGCATCGATCTATAATAGAACCGAGTTTCCGAGCGTGGCAGAATTTTTGAGCCGCGTCAAACCTTAATTAACAGTCTGAGAGCATTTGCATGTACCTGGCAGAGGCTTTAACCTACATACACTCGGAACCTAACGTGCCCATGGCTCCGATAATTGGGAGACTACCGAGGTCGACACCGAATTATTCATCCGTACAATTTTGGTGCATTGGAATGAATCCTAGGAGCGGCAATCTATGACACATTTAGTTAATTTACTCCAGTGGAAGAAATTCTGATTTAACTCCGAAACGAATGTGCCGGTCGATCGATACGCGTTTGGTGATTCGTTCCTGATCCAGCAATCTGCGCGATGCGATCGTGCGAAACAGCTGTGATTAATGGCCATTTGTAAAAATACAAACCACTCATTGAAGCTCAATGGCTCGTATCATTTTCGTGGAATATAAATGATAAGAGTTGAAGAAACCTAATGGCAATGATAAATGCGACGGTTAGAAAGTCAGGTTTCACTAAATTGAAAAATTGCAGTCTTTTTTTTACTCGACTTACGGTAATATCTCTCTAAAGATGTTAGAAGAGAGGAGTACGATAATTTCAAAATCAATTTGTAGAAGTAACGAAATCTTGCACCTCATTTGTGATTAGTAATCACTTTAATATCAGTCGAACTGCCTGTATCGGATAAAATTGAAAACGGTAACTGTTAATGGTGCACCAGCTGAAAAGTTGCGTATTTTAATTCTCGAGAGTCTTCAATGAAATGTCATCCGACAATCGACCCATGGTTAATAAATAACTGTCCCCGAAGGCCGTTTAAGATTCTGACATCGATCATTTTCAGCCTAGGCAATTAAACATCAATCAAGAAGGTCGCTAAATCCTGGAGGGAGCACGTCGGAAAATTATTTTCAAGGATGAACGTCAGACGTTGAATCCGCTAGACACGCGATTCGTAATTTCCTCTTCGGAACCGGTAGACGATAGAACGGTCGAATGAATAATAGTCGACCCCTGTAACGTCTCAGCCACGAGCTTGAATGCACACAAATGCGAGTGCATTGCTGCTGCATACGAGTAGCTATGACAATTACTTTCGAACGTTTCAATGATATCGATAACCTGCGCTGACATCTTTTCAATTTTACTAATTCGCTCTACATGATTTTAGAAACAGTACATTTTTTTCTTTAATTACTTTATTTAAGGTCTCATCAACTACGAAGTTATTAGTGACCACGTCAATGATTAAACTTTGGTTATAATTTATTTAGCATGTTATACTTCATTAATATCTTGACTAATTCGAGAAATTCGTTTCTGTTGTTAAGGATGAAAGCATTATATCGTATAATCAAAATAACAAGATAAATCGATTTATCCACGAGAAAAGTGGTTTCGTAGAATTAAAAAAATTGCAACTGCGTTTCACAGATGCGTGATTACATTCGTGGGAAAAATATGATTAGAGCAACGCAGAGACCTCGTCGGGCCGACCAACATTTTCCACTGCTAATTTTTTGTGTGCTCTCATTTAGAAGAGATAAGTGGTTCGCCCCAGTTTTCCGAATCACCCGATGTTATACATTGGAGCTTTTAATGTATTGGACACCTTGCGGCGCGATAAAGTCGTTTGAGGTGATATTTTAATTATTTTGAGTAGCGCAACTGTATCCACGCGCGTGTGCACGTACCACATTAATTAAATACGGTAAAAGTGCATCGCCGCGCGAACTGCACGAACGCTTTCGGGCAGATGAAATTGAAACCGATGTTTTTCACGAAAAAACCAGTCGAGACGGTCCACGTTCATTAACGGCTTCGATTACACTCGATATATAATCGGAGCGTGCTAATGTATCGATTACATTATTGCGTTTGACTAGAGGTGTGCATCGCGTCGTTGTTAGTGTCGACCTACATGCATCATTCACAGTAACGACAGTACATACTGGTTCGTTAACATCGCCTGTAACAATGCCGTGTCGAATTGGGTATATCTCTCACGTTTGTGCACAGGTTACCGTCGCCAGGGACAAGCATTTATCTGACAATTAGATGTAACCGTAGCCAGGTGTTATAAACCGGGTCACGGATTCGATGATTATATTAAGGAGGCCAATTTGACGCGTTTTATTGTTTATCCAGCTAGTCATTAATTCCGCGATTCTCTGCTTCATTAACCCTTTGACTGCGAGGAGCGTATACGTTTCAGTAACTAATCGAACACGGGGCTAATATTGATTTTTAAGTAAAATTAGATGGGTATGAATATTCCACAATATTTAAATAAGTATTGAGTTTTCGAAAAGACTAATTAAATGGACTGGAACAAATTTAATTGTAAATTTATGATCAATTGTATCATATTCAAACGATTCTTGGATAAATTTGACACCTTTGATTCGTGTGGCCAGTGTATAGACCAGTGTTTTTCGATACTTTATAGTCGCACTTTTTATCTCTAAATATATTTTCTGGTACTTTTTTGTGACGGTTTGGCTTTGAAAAGAAATATTTTGTGAACGAAATACTGTGATTTGTGTAAGAAAAATATTCAAAGAAAAGAAAAGAAAAAACGATATGTGCATAAGCAAGTGCAACACATGTCGACCGGAAGATAAGAGGAAGGAAACAGGTAACTGCAGTATAATAGCGTCACTAGGAGCAAGTGTTCCAGAATTTCCTAGGAAATGACAGCTGACTTTGAAATTGTAAGATAACTGTACGATAACACAGTTTATTATATCAAATGTGAGGTGTAATCGATTTGGAGGCAAAAGTAACTGAGGTTACATATCGTACAATATATGTTGTCCAGATATTAGTTTTTGTGTTTAATCTCTGAGTTCGATTAAGTATGGATAATTCAAGAACAGACTTTAGAATCTAAAGTAGAAACTATTCGAGTTAGTGATCTCGCTATTATAGGATCTAGGTTTTCTCAACTCGATGAAATCTTTGAAGGCTCCTGTCGCTCCCACCTTTCCACGGTGGCCTGGTCTTGAAAAATCGTTTCCCGTAAAAAGTTATCGAGATGCTAGAAAAAGTAGTAGACTGTGGACGAAAGGTCTGAACGTGGATATGACAGAACCTCTAGCCCCAATTGGTTCGATTTCTGAAGCGCCATTTGTGACACATGTGAACGAGAGTTGTCGTTGAGAAGAATACGACCCTCTCGATTGATCGACGCTGAGTGTCGGAAACAAGGAAAAATTGTTCTGTTCCAAAGGGAGTGATACATATGACCCTTGAGTGAATAGTACGTAGTAGGTAGACACTGGTAAAATTTTATTAATTCTTCCCAGATATTTGGAAGATGACAATCGCACGTTGTGCATTTAGGGACTACGTGCACGAGAACGAAAAGTAATTTTGCTTGCAGCTAAAATCTATACTTCAGGTTTGTTTTGACCAGGATTTTCGTATTCGGAACGTCACCGTTCGTCGCTCCGTGACTCATTATATTCGCATCCAGCGTCATGGGTTTCGGTCGCGCGAAAGAAACCTCAAACGACACTGGAACGGTCGGGATTCGGTTTCCGTATTGGAGAATCACGGGGCGGACGTTTCCGGCTCGAGTTCGACGGTCTGCGGGGACAAACGCGGATCGAGATCGAGATCCAGAGCATTCGCGATCCGTGCCTTTCGAGGCGCATTGACGCGAACGACGGCGCATTCCGTGTCCGTTCCGTGAGACCGTGGAATTCCCTGCGGCGATGCAAATCTTAGATACGTTATCGTACCCGCGACGTGACTTCCCACAGGAGCGTCGAGAAACGAGCTGGCAGTGTCTGCTGCCGCGCGCCCTGAAATATTTCATCCCCGGGGATTTTCGTAATTCGAAACGATTACGTAATGCTCGGGTATTCAAGCTACCTCGTCGACTTCGTTACGCGCGCAGCGCTGGGAACTGGTCGTCAAAATTGTCTGCGATCCAGTACTCGAACACTTCGGTGACTAGATTAATCGGCGAATGGAATTTAAGTATTTGGATGTTCGTGATGGGGAGAAGATGTAACACTTTGTCTTGAATTTCATATTTATAAAGACTATTTTTCTGAGCTTGCAATGCTAACCGATTTCCTTATAACGTTCTCCTAACGATGCATTTCTCTATGCACACGACAGCACGATTTAAAATTGAGTCATCTTTCCGATGAGCAATTTTCTTCTTTTCCATGCGTTGCTTCATTATGTGATTCATCCTGGCCACTATGGAATAGCATCTGAGCTATTCATTCGCGTAATATTTTCTCAGATATGTATATATCTCGTTTTACAAAAACGGTATTAGAATGCACTTTGTTAACGCGTTCGTCGTTCCACGAATCCTCGGTAAACGCTCTCAGAGGAAAAAGTGCACGAGGTGAGGGGGAGAAGTGGTGGTGGTACCTTAGAACCGCGTCTCTTCCGAGTTTCTTGAACAAACTTGGTAACTGAGGTCTAGCGGCGACGCTTGGGGTCAGCTTAATTAATCCCGAGAATGTTGTTTTATCCGACTAACTGTCGCATTGTTGCTGGTTTGCGGATTTATCTGCAACGGTCGCCCGGGTACCGCAAACAGAACAGTTCCTTGCGGCAATTCATCACACTGGTCGTGATATTAATTGGGATCGTTATGCAAACGGTCCCCAATGTTCCCCTGATTTAGAATTCCTGACGAAGCTATTAGCTCTCGCAGAGTTCGACGTGCAAGTTAGCTATAACCTAACACACGCAACTCCCTGCGGTAGACAATCGTAATTAAAATTGAGGACTCGGAAACAATGAACAAGATACGTATAAACTATGGTCACTATGATCTTGTTTCCAAGTTTCCAAGCAAATTCCGTAAAATTTCACGAGTAAACTTTACAGAGATTGCTTTTATAGCTCAACCTTGTTAGACTACTCTATTTGATGTATGAGTTAATGGATAAGCATTCAAACTAGGAAATGGCTGTCAATTTTCATAATAATCGTCATTAGGGCCAAAGAAAATTCACGTGGCTTCGATCAAGTCACCAGTTACGATTCCAGGGTAAATGCACGGGGCAGGGATAATTGACGATAATGCGATTGGACCCGTTTTGCTTGATGGGAGATTAACAGGTCAATCTTATGTCAATTTCTTGCGTAATCAATTGCACGAGTTATTGGAAGATGTGCCATTAGATGCTGCAGGTCGCTTGTAGTTTATGCATGACGATGCATCGTCGCATTTCTGTCGAGTAGTCCATGCACTTCTCGAACGAGCGATTTCTAATGGATATTATTCGACGTGCCAGTTCCCCAGATTTAAATCCACCGGATATATATTTTCAGAATCGCTCGAAAAGGCTTCTTTAAAGGAGCAACTTTAAAGGCACTCGTGCCGCTTTTCACGAGATAATTGTATGCGTATTTCGAAGTTCATCGAGGAGTAAGACGTATTGTTTCGCCTTGGAGAATGGGTTCAGAAAATCGGTGATAATTTCGGTGGAATCGGGAAGCACTTAGAAACGCATTATCGACCGCGCCGGGACGCTATAAGCCGACTAAAAAGTTTGAGAGTGCAGCTCGGAACTTCCCCTTGGGAAAGAAAGTTGCGAAAGCCTACCGGCGAATCGACCGCGAAACTTTTAACGGCAGGAACCGTGGGAGCTGCGATCTTGAAACGTTTAAAACAATTGAAACCGTTCTACCCCTTGCGAGTGCCGTGATCATTCGAATAACAATAAAATGTAACGATGGATTAGTAATTCATTGATAGTCTGACAGTATGTCGTGATTAAATTTATTACTGATTCTGAAGAACTAAATTGAGGATCATATTGATTTTTTTGAACTTGAAGTCTTACCTTATATCTAATTTTAAGCTCCAGAATTCGAGACGTTACTATAGAAATGACCGAGGTGCCCACGTATTCCCCGTTCGAAAGTTGAAATATAGCGTTTGACATAAGGAACAGGAACACGTAGGTGACTCCGTTTCTAACTTGTTTGATCGATACCACTCCCATGCTCGACGGGTCAATCATTGAAGCGATTATTGTTTCGGGTATGCGCGGCGTAATCGAGCGATCGAGAGCATATAGTATAAAAGAAAGAATTGTATTTCCGGAGGGGGAATGAAATACTTACGGAAACAGGAGCTGTGTGAGGCGCGGCTGCTTCCTGCGTGTGGTGACGTCGACTGGGGCTGGGGCTCGACCTTTGGGAATTCTGCCCACGTTGCCAAGAACCTCCTTTGTTGTTGCTGAAACCAAATTTGAAAAAACAGTTACAAAAATTAATTCTTTTAAATCTTGGGGAAGTTGTCATGGAGACTTTCAGTAGTCTTTTAGATTTACTCATTATTTATGTAGGAATCAATACACTAATTGCGAAATTTATTATTACTTTTATGTTTTATTACGTGGATTGTAAACTCGACGATTTCGAGGTCCTGCGAGGTTCTCCGAGTCGTATTGTCAAAATAAACATCGTAAGAGAATATTGAAAGTTAGAAAGAATATTAATGTTTCACATAAAGAATCTAACAATTTAGAGTAAATATCAATTCATTCATAAACGTACAAGTAACCAAGAAGCAATATGATCTTTGAAAGGTAAAATAAATTTGTCGCGACAGAGGGTTAAGATATCTTAGCTCAAACGGCTCGATCAGTCGTTGATTGTACTACTGGTACACGTATACCCAGTGAACATGAGTGGCGTGACCCCAGTGCCTAGTCACTGACATGCATATCCTCCTAGACGACCATGTGGGTGGATTGAAAATGTCTCCCTAACAGAAACAAACGTTCAGATTGAAAGCAAAGAGTTCCTGACAGGGAAATGGCTGGAATAGGTTGCAGACTCCTGAGTTATTCACGCTTGTGCTAAGGGACCTATGACACGATCGCGGCAAACAGTGACTTTCACATCAAGGAAGGGGATAAAAATGACGGCCGTTAGACGATCATATCTCGCAATAAATTATTCTAGGGCGAGACTTGTCATCGTGGCCGAGTAATGGATCGGTATAATAAATTACATGTAAGGTCGAAGGTCATCGGATTTGATTTACACGCTCGTTCGTTGATAATCGTCCTTCGGAGATGTCGGTCTATTAAGCGAGACAATGATCTACGAGGTGGTGATCTACGATCGCGCGATCGAAAACAACGTATAAATCAAACTTCGAAACTCTGTTCGTCGTTTCGCGCCGTAGAATGATCACTTCTGTAATTTTCATAGAAATAGAAACGTTTGTAGTGGAAATCGAGGAGACTTTCGAGAGGACACGCGGATGTAACTTTACGGGTGGAGTTGTTTATAGCCCTTGGAACGTTTGAAGCATCTAGGGGATGAACACAATGGGCTCTGCGTCCATCGAAATCCTTGATTGACATTTTGCCAATTCATACGACCCATATCGAACACCTTCCTGTGATGTGCTCATAGTGTGTATGTTTTAAAGTAGTCTAATTGATGCAGTGAACTCGAATGATCTTGAGAATAGTCCCGAGTGAGACTGTGCAGTAGATATGCGGACTATCTGTATCATTAATAAGTTAGACTTCGGTGTTGCTAATGAGTTCGCCATTCGCGTGGTTCGGTTAAACTAGATCTGCAAACTTGTTAAACAGCGCTTGGAGTGACCTTCGACGATAAAACTCCCGTTGCCGAAAGATCTTAGCGATTCTGACCTGCCCGTTTCTCCCTTCATAAATTAGAAACTCGCTTGTCAAGGATGCTGGCGCATCTCTGCCGAACGTCTACTCGTCAGACATCAGACTTCGCGAGAGGAAGACAGGCTTATTGTTTCTAAACCGACAGGTTTCATCCATGCCACTCCCAGGCCACGGGAAAGGATCTCTTAGATTCTCGATCGGCGATCGCGTAGAAAGTGGAATGAATCGATGATCTTCCGTCGCTCCTTCGTGACTCGACTCTCAAGCAAAGATGGGCACATTGTGAAACGTACTTCTCCTGTTATAAAAGGGCTAAACTAAATCCTGTCAACTCGTGTTATTGAATTGGCTTACAGTGAAGAGCAAAATTGAGCCAATTACAGCAATTTTTATGAAAAATATTCATTATTATTGAAATAAATAATAACAAAAGATACCAACGTTGATCATTAATTCTTTATAGTCCCCGGAAACTTACACTATTTTATAACATTTAAAATTTGTTCTCCTTTGGCTGAAATAATACAAATTTATAGTATGTTCCACGACGAAGGAAGAAGAATTTGTCTTCTAAAGGTAGAGACATTGTACTAAGCCTGCTACTCTAACTGCAACTGTTACGTGAGCAACATCGTCGCAGAAGCTCGTGGAAAAAAATCATTCTTCCTAGATAAAAATCACACTACGACCTGACACCTGAGATGCGTGCACACACCGTGCGACCATCATTGCGCCTTTCGCTGGCGGACAACCGGTTCGTTAGAACCGCGTCTCGCGTTAGACGGTTCATCGTTTATCACATCGCGATCTTCGTGCGCCGATAATGATGTATCGGGTCACAGTGAAAGCATCGTGGGAATTCATTTGCGCTCGCGTGCGCCCCGCAAGCCGGAAGCGTTTGACACCGAGGTCACGTCAAGGCAATAGGTTGCACGATTAACGCTGTTAATGTCCGACTTTACAAGGTTTCTCAGAAGAGCAAAGACAGATTTCACAACGGACAGCTCGTTGTCTCGAAGACCTTCACGAACTGGACAGTTTAAACGCAGTTTAGAATGAAACCTTTTCTAGGGGAGCAACTTGACAGTCACAATTATCGTCTGTCCACTCGAACTTCATTCTATTCAGACCTTACTCTCTCCTTAAACCTTCCAGAGACTTGGATATTTTTTCTCGTACTAATGTACTGGGTTGTCTGGACTAGAGTCTGAACATATTTTTCCCTCAGAGGGTTAAGAATAAAGAACAATGCGGTCCGACCAGTCTCGATTGTAGAATTTTGCTTGGCGTGTAACGTGTCGATAATTGGGACGTTTACCTCGCGCGGCAGGGATTCCTGTCTCAGAAGGATGATCACCTCCGGGAGTGTAATTTGTTCAAGGGTGCGACGCATTGAACGTTTCGCTGGTCAGACACGTTCCCGTGTATCAACGGTCTCCGAGTAATATTTGCAGTTCCGACGAGGAACTCGAGAATATCTGTTTCCCGGCGCACGACTCGGAAATTGAGATATTGAGACACTGGCGGTGAATCACACATGCACACGGATGTTTCCAACCCGCAGCAAGTTGCAGCGGATTTCTCGCGGCGCGCTAATCCCGTCGTTATCAAGAGTTTCGTAATCATCGCTTCGCACGACACATTGCGACCACGTATCGCCTCGTTTTCGCCTGGAAAGTGCAAGGAACTCGGTCAATATTTCCAAGGCTGGTGGAAACGAGGAGGTTTCCGTAACCTCGCGTAACGGAGAAGTTCGCGTTGCCCCTGGACAGATATGAAAGGTACACGAGTTTCTACTTATAATTATCTCGGCTGTTTAGCGATTCGCGGGACGGTCGGGTCCTTTCGTCGGCGCGGTTTCGTTTCTCGCTTGGAGCGCGGCCGAACTCGCGGGAAGTAGGTAATCCTTAAAGTGTAGCGCGCGATGAAAAGTTTCTTTATAGTAATATCTAGCAGAAGCAGTAGATAAATCACATTTTTGGTTCGTCCGCAGTGTTCTGAAAGGAGTACTTTAGCAATGACACTGATGAAAGCGCACATTAACGTAATTAAGTCTCTTGCGATTAGTAACCTATTTTAATGCAATTTTAATAAAATATCCAAACAACACGATGAAGTTAAATTTAATATACGTGGAAGAATAACGGTCATTCATTTCCTGGCTATGCTACCGGAAAACAAAAACTCAACAGTGATTGAAGAATTCTGTAACTCGAAAATAAAGTCAAATAGGGGGAATATTTGTATTAATCAATTCACTCTTTCCTGTCCCCAATTTATAGGAGAAATGGGTCTCTCGCGGTAACGGTATAGGCTATATATTTTCATTGCGAAGTATAGCTGAACGTATTTTATCAAGGGTACCACCGCGCGTAAAGGATCAACAATCTACATTCTAGGTTATGATAATAACAATATATAAGCTACCTCACCTTTACATCGTAACTGTAGAGTTTTAGTCGAGACAACACGTGTATTTAGTATACGTCTAGTGCAATATATATGAAGGGTTTATTGAACGGTTCTACGCTATAGCGAGGAGTTTGCTCGGTTCATAGGTAACAAAAGTCGATGTTTCTTCTTTGCATTTTCATAAATATTCGAGTCTTAACATAATATCGCTGCGCGCACACTTGACCTAACCCAGATCTGGACGTTGATAAAAACGCGTATTCGGATATTCCCGCGCACCCTTCCAATGGCGAAGATTTATCCCGCACATTGGACGATATTTACGAACAACATTTTACGGTGAGACACCAGGCGTTATCGCGCGATAAAAGTCCGGCAATGTTCAATTTACGCAGTCCTTCGCGCAAAACACGTTTCCGTCACGATTGCAATTAGTAGAAGCCCGTGTTCGTTTGGGGGATGCGCGTTTTAATTCGCAGCCAGTTGTACCGAGAAATTAGATTTATTTAAAAAAAAAAAAAAAAAATAACTGACCTGGTTGCTCATCCCATTTTACGAAACTTTGCTGAATTTTTGTGCCGTGTAACGAGTTACGAGCAATTCGTGTAACACAGATTTATTCATACATGCGCACGCTTTGCGTCATCCGCGATATCATGAATTCTTTTATTTATTCCGAGAGTCAGTACCTGTGCCTAAGGGCCGAACCTGACCCCACCTGAGGCTGATGGGTTGGTATAACGACGAACGGGCAACAAATAACTTGGTTACTTGGTTAAAGTCACCGCGTCGTTACCTTCAAACTTCAAAGTGCCTCCAAAGTGTTGCAAGTGTTACACACAGACAAACGGAACCTCGCACAACTGATCCCGGAACTTCATCTTCAAGCTGACTCAGCCGATAGCCATAAGAACTGGTATTATACTCTTATTCCAACGAATTCCCCATAAGCCAAACAAGAAAGAGAATAGAAAGACAAGTCCTTTCCATTTTTAAATTTCATCGAGGCAAGTATGTACTTGGAGTCCCCGTAAAACTCTAGTCATGAGCAATCGCAAGGAAGGTTGTTCTTGGGTTCTATGTTACTAGTGAAGTTTATGTCAACGACATCAGTGGACAAACCCTAACCCACGATATCAGAGTTTTTTTCATAAAAGTTGCCTATCTG